GTATTAATGTGGCGGAATTGATATTCATTTTAAAATTAAAAATTAAAAATTTTAAATCTTTTAATGTGGAAAATTTCACGGCATCTTAGAAGAATAATAAGAAGAGGCTCTCCCTCCATTTTTCGACGTTTTACGATGTTTGACAATCGGTTTTAATCGACTGGTCATGCTTAATAAGAGGAACTTAAGATGTCGGCAAATTTGCCGGATAGAGAAAAACACGGATCAATATTAACGCAACAGCTTTGACACAAGTAGTTTGATCCCGGCTGAAAATTTCATCGCTAGTACGATACCGTAAAATATTACAAAAACAATGAGAGATAGATTTGAGAGTGCCAATTGTAAGGGATGAAGTTTGATTAATAACATGATCTCAGGACGCAGAGATTATATTTAGTATATAATCGGAAGGAATGCGCGCCGATATTGAAGGAACAGAAACGACATGAAAAATTTAATGCCAGATAAAAATGTTTTTAGGGTGTCTTTCTACAATCGATTACTCGGTGCGGGGTCGCATTTTCATTTCAGATTGATCAAATAATATCAAGACCGCGACGTAGTAATTATCGTTGGAATATAACCGAAAGAAACTTATTGACGTAACAAAGTTAATATAACAAAGTTGATAGAGTAGTCTATTGTGGGCGGAAAATCGCAAGCGGTGTAAAATCGGCGTATTGGAAAAATAATAAGGGGAGGCTCACGCATTTCGTTTCAGAGGGTCGTCTTAAATCGGCGAAGTAGGCTCGCGAATGAAGTAGACGAATTAATTGTCATTGGGAAATTGCCGGAAGAAACGTGTCGACATTAATGTGACAGAGAGCTGACGTGGGGTAAGATTTCCGGGATGAAAAATTCGCACGATGTATTGGAAAAGTGATCGCGAGAAGAAACATTCCTATCGTCACAGTTAAGATGCGAGCGCGTCATTTATGTCGTGTTATTTGACATTGAATCTCTTTCGAATTGTATCTACTTTTGAAGAAAGGATAAATAGTCCGAGAGATGGATTTTGCTATAAAATAGAGTGCAAAGTTTCGGCACGTTAATTTGATAAAATAATCTCGGTGTACAGGAGTGGGGTGGAAAATCAATTAACCGAATTAAGGAAACTGAAAGAAACGTGTCGTCGTATTAATGTGGCGGAATTGATATTCATTTTAAAATTAAAAATTTAAAATTTTAAATCTTTTAATGTGGAAAATCTCACGGCATCTTAGAAGAATAATAAAAAGAGGCTCTCCCTCCGCGTTGCACGTTGCATCAGCACATCCAAATGCCGACAAGCTTAATAATCCACAACAAGTGATATTTTCGCTCCCTCTCGACATTTTCTCGGTAAAAGAGATTTAGGGAGAATGCTCCCTTAGGCTAAATGCATATTGAGCTCAGGAACTGCGAGAGCAACGCGGAATTGTATATAGGGTGAGTACACAACGCATTGCAGTTCTATCTGCATACTTGAATTTGCACAAAATGTGCAGTTAAATGCTAAGTCAAGGTAAATTTTCATGCATTTCTAATGAAAAATTTGTTAATTCAAGTTTAGAATCTCTGCTCCAGAAATTCAATTACTCATGTATGTATATTTTAAAAGGGGAAGAATCTGAAACAATGGCCATATGAAACAAATTAATTTATCTAAAAGTGCATGTAGTTTTTAAATTAAGTTTTTTGTAGTAGCATATCACAAATTTAATCCTTTAATTCATCGCATGCAATTTAAGTTATCTCGGTAAAAAGTCTGTGATATCAACAAGCAAGTTTAGTTAGTTCTGCATGCTTTTAATCTTTTAATGGATTTTTTCTAACACGCTATACACTTGGTGACGCAAGAAACTGCGCCTCGAATAAAACAGACGGAATATTCCTGCCTCGTTTTGTTCTGCGTTTTAATATGTGCTTCTCCATATAAACATATTGAATGCAAAATCTACGCTGCCCTGCGTCGCCTATGTCTCGATGTGACCTTAATATCATACACACGGTAATATCTGAAGCGTTAGTAATAAGCCGACACATATGAATGTTTGCTATCATCGCGCGAAATTAAATAAAAAAAAAAAGTATCGCATTCGAGTTTTGCAGCGGAATTTAATAACAGTTAACCCGCGTTGCATTAGCGAGAAGCGCGCATACATCATATAAAAGTACGCTATTGGCAAATAGCCGTGTAATAGCCTGTCGGATATTTCGAGGGGACATTTTTCACTGGGATGAGTGAGCCGTCGGGATCAAGGGGAAACTGAAATGAATTTAGAGTCGCGCGCACGAGCAACGGGAACGGCGATACGCAAAGCGGAAACGCTCGTAACGCTTGCGATAGTTTGTTAAGTTTCGCTTTAACTGCCGAGCTTATCCCTTTGCCTTGGTTCTTAGTGTGTCACATTAAGTTGCTTTCCTGAAATTGCGCATAAATAAGATAGAAGCGCGTTTTCTGATCTTAGAGTGCCGCTTTTAGCGTATCTACATGACTTAGCGTAGTATAAGCGAAACCGCGCGCATTTCCAGCGGCTTAGAAGCTTAATTCTTTTATCACCAGTAATCATCCTTGGTTCTCCCAAGTTCTAATTGTAGCTGAATTATACGGAATGTATCTTAGATCGTACAGGGCAAGATGCGCTCCTCGACGGATGCGCATCTTTGCTTTCACAGCACGCTCGATTTTAAGAACTACAAGAACAGATAGAGGAACGTTATTATTGATTAATTTCAAGTGGGCTTTGATCTCACAGCTTTCGTAGCGAGAGGCTTTCACGCGTGTTAAAAACTCAGCAAAGCCGTTGGAACGGAAGAACGTATGCGCGAGTCAACGCTCGCCTCGTACATAAGAAAGGGGGAAGGTAAATTAATACTATTAATAATTAGCTAGTGATAGAGGAGTAATTGAGTCCTGGCCGCACACACCAATACCAATACAATCCCACATATCATACTAAAGAGAATCGCGAGAGACGCGATGAAGGCGCTCGCCCTTTAACGAAATTGTCTCTCTTCGGCTCCAAGATGGCGATAGCTCGTCGGCCTTCAGATGACAAGGTCACCTTCGCCGGGGAGCGCGAGAGAGACGCGCAGAGAGTCGTCGTTAAGGTTATGGTTATGCGATCAATGTTTACGTCAGCCGCGAGTAATTAATGTCAGCACTTCATATTAGACAACGCAAGGCGAGAGATTGGATCTGATCGCATATTCAATAAATTATCTCGTGCCATTAGTTTGCGGCAAGGCTCATGATTATAAATATGTTACACCCTGAAATTGAGGGTTCATTGCGTATGTGAAGTTAGATACAAAGTGACACGTGGAGCTCGGCGACATTGTAGCGCTGCTTGATATCTTGGCGCTTGACTTAAATCGCCCGATTTAACTTCCACACCTTGGAAGAGATTCACGAGCCTCTTATACGCCACCTCGCGTTCTCATCTTAACAAGATTAAGGAGAACGCACATCGCGTCCCCCAATGGAATTTCGCACGACCGCGTACATAATTTTCCGGCCGGCACGCTTCTCAGAAACGACAATCGCTTCGCTAAGGGACGAGATCTTGCGAAAGAGAAGGGAAGAAGAGGAGAGAGATGGGACGAGAAGAGGAGTCGCCGCGAATAATTTCCACAATCTGAGATCGCTCTAGGGCCGGCCCGTAATTTTTTCTGAAACACAAGACATCGCGGCATCGCGATGGTAGAATCGTTTTGCGCGATCTTTCTCGACTCTCCTCTCGTCCTCTGTCTCTCTTTCTCCTCTCTCGGCTTGCTCTGAACGCGCGTGTACTTTTATAGCGGCAAATTAAATTCCGGCGGCAAATTAAATTCCGGCCGCGTACGCCCGTACGGCGTATACCGGAAGATCATCCTCGCGAACACGTCTTCGCGTTTATCAGATTTTAATTCGGCAAACGGTACTTGGCCTTAGCAGGTGGACATAGACCGCGATACTGTTAGGCCGAAATATACATGAGCTCGTTTCAACGAAGGTCACACCACCCAGATAGACTTTCATGATTATCACGACGTAAGATAATCGATGATGGCAACTCCACAATTATTTTAATCACTAGATTATGGAATGGTTTCACCGCTCAAATATATATATATATATATATATATATATATATATATATATATATATATATACTCCACGATACTCTAAATCGAATTACATTTATGAGATAAATTATATTGAATTAATTATTAAATTTACATCATATATACGATAATGCAAATGTTGTATTAGTTTCATGTTGTATTGATGCAGCAACAAATTTAGTTACACTTAGATCTTTATACATTACACTTATTATATTATTCGAGGTAAAATTTGATTATTATTATTTTTTATATTTCTCTCGTATTTCTATTTCATCATTTTATGCGCAAAATACGGTCGTCCATAAGAATGGTTCCGTGATAATGATCAAAGTTGCCACGTATTTACACAAAATGTTCGTACGCATCAGTCTATCGAGGGGGAAGTAATTTCATTCGTGTTTTCACATGAGATTGTAAACACGCATATCCACATAGCGGATCCTCAAATAGGATCCAATTTACTGCGTATGTTTATTAATGGTGTAATAAGGCAAATATGCGTGAAGAAACATTGAAGCGAGCACTGTGAAAGATTAAATGCCAGTCTAGGAAAATTCCACGTAAATTTGAGAGGAAAATCTCTCTCATTTGGACTATATCAATTTAAACCTGTTTATACACGCGCGTACGCAAAGACGGCTGAAAAGGAAAGGAAAATAAAGATTCGAAATTAAAACCCCGCGCTTCACGTACTACGTTATAGCACTCGCGAATATGGTAGTCGTTCTGCCGCGTTTGGAGATATCGATTAGAACGCGAGGCTGGCTGGACGCTTTTATGTACATAGGTCGGACGAAATCAAGCAGCGCCACATTTTCTCTCGTTCTCTCTCGCTCCGCTCTAGACATATAATTATGCATATGCAGGACATGTCGTTTGTATGGTGTGATTTTGCCTGGACTCACCGATCCTCTTCACGTGGACGTCTCGATTGAAGGAGACGCTTCTCTCAGCGGGCTTCCACATGGTGACGGAAGCCCCAGACATGACGGGGGCTATCAAATGCGCGCTGTCTTGAAGATTGCAACCTTCTCCCCCTCTCAACGAGTCTGAGCGCTGTATTGTCAGCATCTTTCCCTTCTGTTTTTTCGTTCCCGACTGTTCATGCCGTAAGACTGTCTCACGGCGGTACCGTTTCTCGTCCCCTCGCTCGAGCTCCCTTTCCGTCCTGCTGTTTAATCACTTTATCAACCCGCACCCCTAAATCGCAAACCCGAATTTTTCTCTTTCGCCCTTATCTTGCCCACACTCCTTCCCTTGTTTTCGCGACACAATCCAATCACGAACCTGTAAGCCAAGCAAACTGCGCTCTTAATAACTGTGACGATCTCGATTACAAAGAGATTATATGTTAATTTCCCTACCCCCTTTTCGGTTATAGTATTTCCATACCCGCTCCGATTGTGTCTGCGCATTTATCCGAAGGCGAGAGCTTGTTTAAGAAGCAGTTGTCCGTTGGTACGCGAGAGGTACGATTCTTTTCGAGAGTTGTCTCACGGTCGAGAGCGACATTACAATATGGGAGTGGTTCAGATGGTATCTCATGGGTTTCCAACCTCGTGGATTATCGGCGAGTGTCAGATGTACGGGAAGCGGAGACGCGCGTGAGATTCCAACGGACATCCGACGAAATAGCCGAGCTCCATCGAGCTCCCGACTTTTTTACTCCACTTCCCGTACAATCATCTAAGAATCATTTCTCGCCGTACGAGAACGCTTACGGGAACGTAACGCTTCCGCGCTCGCGCGCTTAACGTGCAAGTGTGCGTGCGTGAACGCGAGAGAAAGAGAAGTGATAGCGATCGTGCGTTCCCGGCGACGTGTCTATACTAGTGGCATGCCAACTGTGCGGTAGATGATGATAAACGCAACGAGTGATAATGGTTCCCTTTGTCGTCATACGGGCAGATGGGATGCCAGAGATATGTACAACGATATAATGACAGCGACAGGGATGACGATGACGACGCATAATATCGACATAGCATTCGTACTGATGAGAACTTCGCTAATGGGAGCGATTGTGCGATAAGGTTCCGCGCTCGCTTTTCCTTTACATTTGTCCGCATTAAGTGACTATCGTAATTATGGTGCCGACAATCCACGGATGCTGCGCCGCCGCGCCTTGCCTCGCATCGATTCTACCTTCAAACACAACGACACTTGATTTGAATTTCATAAAACTTGCAACTTCAAAGGGTCGCGTCGCGTTACCCTATTGCTCGTTCTGGACTACGATATATGATGACGATAACAATGACCCTGATCGATGACGATGGGATCAATCCGCGCGCAAATATTTCGCGAACGAACGAACGGGCGAGTAGGCTGTCGCGTAAAATTCTGCGGCAAACTTTTCAACCAGAGAAATGATTCTTGGATATTATAACGCTAATTATCTCTTTGAAACTCTTGTAAATATCGATTTGGAGCTACCCTTGTCAAAATTTTAATCCAACCTCAATATTCTATTTAATGCCTATTTTAATATTCTGAAACCTATATTAACCTCTTTTGATTCTATTTAATCCACTGGCTTTGCTAAAACTTCTTAGAACCTGCAAATCGCATTTTATGCTAGATTCTGCCATTTAGAGTCAATAAGTAAGATTTCAGTCTTCATATATATTACACTGATCTGAGAGAATATCTGAGAGACGTTAGAAAACGTAGGTCCAAAATAGGGCTAAAATTTCGACTCAGACAAGTACACGCGACGTTCGTTTGGCCAAGATACGCAATTCGTGAATTTTGCAAATCGCGTAAATCGATAGAGCAGTCAATCCTCGAACACTTTGCGTACATAAAAACGACAAGGACGGAGACACGTTCGTCCGTATAAAAACAGTTCTAAAAATATCGCTGACAGCAGTCAGCCACTCGAACGACACACCGAAGCGGAAGCCTCGAGACTGCTCATTATCATTATAAACTCTTTATTTCGCTACATGTTTTTCGCGCTATCGCGTAAAAACAGCATCCTCTTTTTCTCCGAGACGTTGGCCTTCGTTGTGGTCTTTTTATCGCTACAAAACTGTCACGTGCAGTATACCGATGTACACCGTGTGTCCTAAAAGTCATCGCAGGGATCACGCTCTGCTCGTTATATCTCTCATTTTGAAATTTTCAATTCGCGACATCCGCCGACAAAATAAATGAAAACTTTGTTGCAAACGAGGTGATTGAAGGATGACCGATTCTTCAAGAATGTAAAAAGTTCCGCGCTCGCTTTTCCTTTACATTTGTCTGCATTAAGTGACTATCGTAATTAAGGTGCCGACAATCCACGGATGCCGCGCCGCCGCGCCTTGCCTCGCATCGATTCTACCTTCAAACACAACGACACCTGATTTGAGTTTCATAAAACTTGCAACGTCAAAGGGTCACGTCGCGTCGCTTTATTAATCGCCCTGGGCTACGATATATGATGACGATATATGATGACCCTGCTCGATGACGATGGGGTCAATCCGCGCGCAAATATTTCGCGAACGAACGAACGGGCGAGTAGGCTGTCGCGTAAAATTCTGCAGCAAACTTTTCAACCAGAAAAACGTTCAGAGTTTAAATCGCATAGGGATGGAAATCCAGGATCCCGAATAAATTTTCTGCCTTTCCCCACCCACAAATTTTGTTCACCTTTCTCCATCAAGATGAGATACCTATTTTCGGGACACGCCTATCGAGTCGAGCCTGTCGAAGAAACTTTTAATCGCGCGAGACTCTTCAGCAAGAGACGCTGTCAACAGAATTAACATTCATCGCACGCTTTTGTCCACTCGCGGTCGTTATTTCATCCGCCCTTGAAATAAATAAAGGTGACCCCGTACGCGCACACGTACGCCTTCATCTTTCAAGGCCATCGAGGCAGAGTGACACGTCGTCTTAGCGAGTTTTCGCACACGCGTGACACGCGGTGTTACCGGGGGTGAGCCGTCACTCAACGACTTTATTATTGCCGCGCAGAAGAGTGTGAGGAAGAAGGAAAAGGAGGAGGAGGAGAAGGAGAAGAGAAGGAAAAGGAGGAGGAAAAGGAGAAGAAGAAAAAGAAGGAGGTGAAGAAGGTGAAGGAGGTGGAGGAGGTGGAGGAGGTGGAGGAGGTGGAGAAAGAGGAGAAGGCGAAGGACGACGACGACAACGACGACAACGACGATGTTGAGAAGGTGGTGGTAGAGACACCAGCCTCAAATGAGATAATTCGCGATACGGGGATTAAGATACTCTTCCAAGCGGCTCAGCAGCCATATTTGGCGAAGAGGGGCCGCAGGGTTTCGTAGGATCTGTTCATGCACCCTGCGGCTCCGCTACGTGTCGTGTGGGGGACCTCTGCATATATAAAACTGACATTAACATATTTTTTTTCAGGATTCGAGAGAGTTTACGACGGGATGCGTCGACTCCCACGCGCCTCTACCCTTCTAGTCGTCTAATCGCGTCGCGGGCTGCTCGATTCGGTTCGATCTGAGGGCGAGGGGCGAAGGGAGGCAAAAAGAAATCCACGACTGTCGCGAAGAGATTTCGTCCCGACCGCCGTTTAAATGTACGAGTGGACCGGCCGAATGCGCGTCCTTCGTTACCCGCCACAGCGTTCGGATAACAGTAAAGTGAGGGATAAGGAGATGCCGAGCGCGGCGACACTGCGCCATATCCTCGCGACTTTAATTCCGTCCCGTACACATTCCACGCCGGACGTGTTCGCTTCTTTTTTCTCCTTCGTCACGAGAGAGAAGTCAGGAATTAAAATTGTCCACAGCGGCCGGCTGGCGAAAAATCCGTGCAAAAATAACGTTTCATACTGCGCTCCTCGTCCTTTTGTGAATTTTATCCGCCGAAGTGTTCAGACGTTTTTTTTTCGCTTGTGAATTTCCATTCGTTCCGTGAATTTTGCAGTACGACCTCAAAGCAGATCAATCGGCAAAGCAGATAGACGGCAAATAAATCGTTAGGATGAAAACCAACATTTTTATTCCGTCTCTGTGCCAACAGCCAACGAATATCGCGAGAATATCGGCGGCATTGTCAAACGCGCACACACACACATACACACGCATTCGCAACGCGTGCGTGTTGGATTTTAATTCGTGTTATTTGCCGTTTCCTGATATTGCATAACAGCGCGAGCGGGAGTAACAAAGAAAAATATAGTCCCTGTCGGAGCGTGCGACAGCGCGCACTCACGTTCCGAATTCCGCGATGATTTCACGTCGTGTCATCGTCGTCCTCGTCATTCTCGCAGCGCGGTCGTCGTCAACCGCTCTAGCAGCGGCTATCGTGACAAAAGAGTCCGTCGGATTCGTATTCTCGCGTGTTAGATAGATAGACAAATAGATGAAACTTAGCATAGAAGGATTAGCCGCAGAAAGGCCGGGACGATACAAAAGCGTGCGAAAGTATAGAGAAGCCCGGTGAGTATTTCACCGGGTCTCTCTAACGATCTAACGCCTTTGAGATATTTCACATTCGTTACGGGGCAATATAGCGCGAAAAAGAATCGCGCCCCGGCAATAAAACCACATCACGCTAGAATAGAGACAACACTATTTTCTAGCTTTGTGTGTGCGCGCCGAAGAAAAAACGAGAAAAGGCAAAAAGGAAGAAACAGCGCGAACGGATACTAAATGCAATAAACATTCGCACGTTTAGCACCTCCATCAACTTTTATTGACGTGGCGCACATAGAACCCCGATAATAAAATCAACAGCCGCGCTCTTTTCTCTCTGTAAATTTTATACTCTTTCACTTCTCTTCTTTCCCTCTCTGTACCTGTACGCAATTGATGACGGATTGCTTCAAAGAAGCAAAGAATCGCACTGGCAACCATGAATCGAACAGAACTCCATTACAAAGCTTAGCATCGCTAAATTACACTGCACTGAAAATATAATTGAGCAGAATCGTGCCCTCAGGGATAAATGGATGAATGGATGGGTGGCCAAAGTGAACTGTCGCGACAACGAATCGCTGACGATGAACAGACGATAGGCCTAAAAGAGTTCTTTGTGCGAGCAAATTGACAATACGCCCTTTTTCATGTAGTTATTGACTCGCCTGCGGTGATTTTATGCGTATACGCTTTATGAAGGTCACCGAGCCGAGTACTTTTTGTACCCATGCATATGACATATGTGATGCGACTGATGTGTAAATAGAGGGACGGCTTCATCAAACAGGGCGATGCGTATCGTTATGAGGGCTATTATTGAATTGTACGGCGTAAAATTTTTCCGGGATATCGGCAATCTCGGCGTCTATTTTTCCTCAATTGTGCATGTTAAATATGAGTAACGAAACGCTTTTAATCGATCGCAGCTCGTTCCTCCGCACAGTTGGGGAATCGATAGAGCTAGAATATATTTAAGTTGTTACGTTGGTGCGTAAAGATTGAAATCGCATTCGTGTAAAAACTCACTAGAGAAGCAGAGAAATAAAGGGAGAATCCTCTCACAAATTTTACGTTTATCAATGTCGTTTACCCGCCGTTGCTGCTTTTACGCCCGCGACATTCCTCTCGTGAATTCCTCTCTGCGAGATTTATTTCTAACAGTATCCCAATAAACATTGACTGTTGATGTTCACCGGCTTGACCCGGATGAAACTCCGCGCTTAATTATGCGATAAAATATGCCCAACGAATCGATTCAACTCCTCGGAATTCTTCTCCACGTCGCGTCCCAACACCGTCTTTTTCTGACCGACCTGCTTCTCGGAAACCCGTTCGCGGCTCTTTAGTCGCCCCACATTTTCACGCTTTCACTCGGACGCGAGGCGAAGTCTCCTTCCTTGCACGTGAAAGAAATACGATTGCACCTTGCTGTCGAGTCAACGCGGCTGCATTATTTGTCCCCGCCCTCCCCTCCTCTCCCTCTCGCGCTCGAGAAGACAATTTTCAGGAATTAAAACGATATTGATGTCGAAATTCCGTTTCTGCTACTACGTTATCGGTATCGATTAGAATACTAATGAATTTTCAGTATTCAGTCAGAACGGCACCAAAAATATAATCATTCGCCGCTTCGACAGTTTTGAGAAGATAGATCGCGGATAATTATCATAAATTATGATTTCCACGTGGCCCGTGAAGAGATTAGGGTTTCGCCTATCGAAATCTCGCCAATACACGCGTGAACGATAAACTCTTCTCCGTTGTAGAATGATATACTAGCTATTCTATACAAGCACAGTTTTGAAACGGTGATTTTTCTTAATTTAAGGAGCTCCTAACTTTGTGCGCTGAACAATTTCGTGTTGAATACCTTTTTATCGATCATCGTGGTGGTACACACGCAAATATTGATTTATTCACGCTCAATTTCGAAAAATCGCTAATAAATATCTGCCGAGTGAGGAGGAGGAGGAGCGGAGAGAAGGAGTAAAAGAGAGAGAGAGAGAGAGAGAGAGAGAGAGAGAGAGAAGACACAGAGAACTATATATTGTAATAGACGTGACGCGAAAATATGATTCAAAATTAATACATCGATATGGTCGCGTGAAACAGCGAGTATAACGCATATGCCTGAAATTGAAATCGCGGCGCGGTTACTTGTGAAACGAAGACGACTGTTTGAAAACTGGTCGCGTAAAACAGCGAGTATAACGCATATGCCTGAAATTGAAATCGCGGCGCGGTTACTTGTGAAACGAAGACGACTGTTTGAAAACTGGTCGCGTAAAACAGCGAGTATAACGCATATGCCTGAAATTGAAATCGCGGCGCGGTTACTTGTGAAACGAAGACGACTGTTTGAAAACTGGTCGCGTAAAACAGCGAGTATAACGCATATGCCTGAAATTGAAATCGCGGCGCGGTTACTTGTGAAACGAAGACGACTGTTTGAAAACTGGTCGCGTAAAACAGCGAGTATAACGCATATGCCTGAAATTGAAATCGCGGCGCGGTTACTTGTGAAACGAAAACGACTGTTTGAAAACTTTAGTTGAAATACGGCCGACCATCCGTAATTTAACCGACTTTAATCTTTTCGTGGATATGAAAGAGCGGCGCGTTCGATGTGTTTGAACGGTTTGCGTTTGTTTTCCCCTCGGTTTAATTATGCGAGGTCGGCCATTGCTTAGCCCGCGGGCAAGGAGAGAAATCTGGATGTTCGCAAGGGTCACGGTTACGTGAGTGCATTGTATTGAACGGATAAAACGGCGATTTCCATTAAAGGCGGCGTCCCTTTTTCTCTTTCTCCTCTCTTTTTCACCCCCTTTCTCTCCCCCGTCTACTCTCTTTTTCTCTTTTTCTCCCCTCCTCTCTCTCTCTTTCATAGGCTTGTGCCAATAACACTGGTACGCTTGGTACACGTCAAAGCCAAAAGTTCCTCCTCGGTATACCCCACCGCTTATCTTCGATTTACCATCTCGCGTATATTTGTACAGCGTTCTCTTTATAATATCCACGCATCTCTACCATGATCACACAACAGACGCACGCCCGCCGAAGCATACGATAAAACCGCACCCGAAGGTATTCAATGGAGAAAAAATTTGCACCTGGCTAGCGATAGGCGCAATCTTCATCTTTGTAAGCGCGGACAGTCGAGACAAACCGTGGCGGCGAGTGGGCGAGAGGAAAGTGGACGAAAAGGCGCGATCGAGTTCACCGAGTCTGTTTAGAGGGAGCGATTTCCGTCAGGACGTCGTGCCAGCGTTTGAAAATAAGTTTGAGGAGATCACAGGAGAGACTTTAGTGGCGCGAAACGAGAATAGTTTTCGACGGTACTTGAAATATCGACAACGACAATGAAAACTCGCTAAAAATCACGGTGACTGTTTTATCTTTGGGATTTTCACGAAATTAAGGTGATATAATAAGAGAAGCCATCGGGAGCTTTTATATTGTGTATCATCGTTAAAGAATAACGTTAAACCGTATCCCCAAGGTTATCATGAGATAGTTTGTGAGAATAAAAAAAGACGTTACGAGATGGGTCTGGCTGGCTCGGGATAAACGAAATTCCGTTTCTGCGGTTCGATTCGTCCCTTTTCATCGTGAATTATATTGATAATCTTACTTCCCATAGAATTCCCTCTCAAGGCAGGCCAAGACCGCCGAAGAAGTCATCATCGTCAAACAATACAGTGATCATAGAACTCGTGTTCGTACTTATGAAAGGACTCGGTCGACACGTAGGACGTACTGGACGGTTTAGAGCCGTGTTAATTCGATTCGTCGTGTAATTCGCGGTCGTAAATTTACCGATGTATTAATTCGCGAGACTCGCCTAATCGAGAGATCCACCGACGGACCTGAGCGCGTTAGAACAGCGCTGTCGATTTCCATAAATGTTTATTCCCGCTCCAATCCGCGAGCAAGTGAGTGCAGACGACGTTGGCGCGTCGTTAATGCGACCGCATCAATGAATAATACGCGTGGACGCGTTCGCCGATATTCTGCTCGTACCGCGAGAGGCTTCGCCATCGTATCGCGATCGCTCCCCATAGCGAGCGAGGAGCTCGCGTATGATCGGCCGACTCGATCTCAGAACGGGCAGATTAAACGCCTAGATTCGAGCGTGCCGCGAGAGCATGGAGGAGAGAGAAAGAGGCCTAGCCGCCCTAGCTACATACCGGTGATTAAAGTGTCCGTTAACGCGAGTTAATTGATCTTTCAGTTAATGGGATATTACCCTTCCGTTGGATTTCTGGTTTGCCCGACCGACCGGCTAAGCGAGCGAGCGAGCGAGCGAGCGGCCGCCAGCCGGCAGATCCAATCTGCACGCGAAATAACTCGCGCTCTCGCTCTCGCGCGCGACGTCTATAATCTATTCGGCCCCGCGAACACCGTGGAGAGCTCAGCCAACCGACCTACCGAAGACGTTCTACCGTTTCCCTTTCGATTAGCGTCCGCGCGAACGAACGCGCGCGCTGCGACCCGTGTAATCCAACCTAGCTGATTCGAACCATCGGCGGTTCGATCTTGCGAACCGATTCATGCCAATAATCGTCGTCGCCGTCGTCGTCGTCGTCGTCAACGTCGTCGTCGTCGTGGTCGTCTTCGTCGTGGATGCGTTACGATATTCACTACAATCGATATCACGATTTACCTTCACTGATACAGTAGCATTCCGATCGCTTAGATATCTGGTATTCTCTCTAAGGTTCACTCTACGGCTCTTCAGGTATGAGCGCTTCTCCGAATGGAACTAAGAAGAACGAGAAGAGCGAGGATGATCCTTTATTTCTTTATCCTTAAACGGAGTTTCTCTCGTTTTCTGTGGGAGAAACTTCTTGCAGGTAAATCGAAGCAAAACACTCTCACGTTCGACAACTGTCACTGTCACTGTCCGGATCGCGAATCCGTGGGATCGATTCAAAGGATTGGCCAACACCACCGATTATCGTCGATCACCTACCGTCGCCCCGTCTTCCCCTGCTCCGATTTAACGGAGCGGATTTTCAACACTCTCCGTCGCTTATCCGATACCGATTACGAAACCGATACCGATACCGATACCGATGCACTCAAAACAACAGATTAACCAGCAACCCAACTTCGAAATTGTCTCGCACTGACGGATATTCCCGAAGTCACTCGGTATACGCGATCTTTCGAACTCGCGGGAGTAGCGCCCGTTTGACCGTTTGTCCTTGTCGTAGTCGTAATTGTCGTAGCGTAGCAGTTATCGTCGTCGTCGTCGTCGTCGTAGTAGTCAACACTGATTACGTTCGTATTTCGCGCCCCGAAATTTTTCGCCCCGCGTCAACTCCAGGGGACCCAGGCGACCAGGATCAGGTCGCAGCGCGTAAACCGTCACCACGAACTCGCGCGCGTTCCGTTCGTTCTCCGCCGAGCGCCGAAGAACTAATAAAAGCTGGGGCCCAGGTTGAAACTGCGTAGGCCGCTTACTACTCCTTCCACTGCGGCACCATCTTATCCCACCGGTGTACCGAGCCCAGGTATGGACAGAGATAGGCAGCAGAGTAGGCACGGACGAGCGGACGAATGAACGGACAAGCGAACGGCACGAAACGAGGTATTCACGCGTCGGGACGCGTCGAGAGGCACGACTATATCGCTATGGTGCTATATATCGACGGAATCAAATTTGCACGCAGTGAACAACTCCATTATTGGAGTTTAGGCAATCGCAAATAACGAAGGAGTGCTAATTATATTGATCAAAATGACGAGTCAGAGTTTCTGTAAGCGCGGACGAGTCGGAATTTCTTGGAAGGAAGCTAACGTAATAACCGAAAAAGGAAGAAGATTGATAAGATCATTCGAGTGAGTGTAAAAGTTTACATTATTTTTGAAAATGTCAATATATACAAACTGCATGAACGATCGCTTGCAAAAACATATCCGTGTCTACTTTCTCTCGCAGATATTAACTGATATCCATATATTTGAACGTGTTTGTTATTTTTTGGGGGGAAATTGGTTTATGAGTATGGTTTATAGAATTAGGATGTATCACACCCTGTGAATATCATGTTCATCCATAATGAAGGTCGAAAGTATATTCATTGACGTCGCTTTCGATAGATGGGAATGGACTCGACAATTTCGCGTGTGTCGATAGATCAATATGTCAAATCGCGTTTATATGTCAAACCGATATTGACTAACGATGAGAGGTACATGGTATTATGTGTGTGTTACCTGACACAGGTATACGGGTATTATTGATAGTGTCCAACTGGCACACGTCGCCCGCGCTGCCGATTCTGAATGCATGCTCCCTGCCTCTCTTTCTTCATCTGTCTTTTCTCTTTCTCTCCAGGAATACCCACTCTTCCTACGTGCAGGTCTCCCTACCTGCTCGTTCGAGCGGTGCACGCCGCTGCTGGTGAACGTCACTCGGTCAAGGTCTCCCACCAAAAACCTGCAACGGTGCGCTTCCACCGCCGACGCGCGCTCTCTCGCACGATCCTACCACGGTCGACTTGGTCCACGGACAATGCTATACTTGGTGTGAACCGACGGTCGCGAGGCCGTCGAGGGCGAATGCTCGTCCTCGACGGTGCTAAGTGTCTAGATATGAATATGGACTGCGACCTCGTGCATCTATGTACATGTGGCGTTAATGTGTTTATCCGTTTATCGACACTTGATGCAAACATTGGTTGTTGTGCAATTTGGTAACCTAAGGTAAGCCCATGAGGTCAGTTGTCATCTCGAGTTGAGTGGATAAGTCGTTAAAAATTTTTAGCGATCGTTCATGCAGTTTGTATATATTGACATTTTCAAAAATAATGTAAACTTTTACACTCACCCGAATAATCTTATCAATTTTCTTCCTTTTTCGGTTATTACGTTAGCTTACTTAACACCAAGAAATTCCGACTCGTCATTTTGATCAATATAATTAGCACTCCTTCGTTATTAGGTGCTTAGAACAGGCAGGTGTGCCTATTCTCGCTCGTTAGATACTCATGCCGTATCGGGGATCGTGAGATGATATCTTTCGAATATTTCCACCAAAATATCTCGGAAATCCCCGAAGTGTGCTTTACATCTCCGAGTAATAACGAAAGTCACATGATTTTTTGACACGAGTTCTCGACAGCAATGCGCGTGTCTCTCCTCTAAAAAGATTTTGTCGACGATATTTTGTCGACGTAGTATTTCCTCACCAAAGTTTCTGCGGATCGTTATAGATTGTTGCGGGCTAAATGTTTACGGTCTTGACGGAGTGTGGAGGCTCGCGATCACGTCGGTGATCGGCGTCACGGACGGTAGCATACCCCGATAATAACAGGATATTTTACGATCGATTTGGCGGATAAGCGTGTTTACGTTAGAGATCTCGTCTCGGACTTTATGCAGGGGCCTCGTGCGGCGTATCGGCGCGCGTTGAGATGATACGCGGCGTTTCAGCGAATATGACTATAAATAAAGAAAATAATGAGGAGAGGCCACTGGGCTGGCTGGCTAGCTGGCTGGTTGGCTGCTGACCGATCGGCCGGTCGGTCGGAGTAACAGACACGCAGGAGGCGAGTTATACCGAGAGGAAAATTGTGCCCCGCTAAATATAAGTATCAAGGTGGGGTATATCAGCGGCGTAGAACAGACGGAGCACAATTATACGTGATTGAGGACCGGTCTTGTTTCTATTTTGCTTGATTTCTGCTCGTAGTTAGCCCGATCTCGTGGCGGGCCCAATCACAATGTCGAGTCTCAACGGGGCCAGAGCCTATTATGATTGGCGTAATCATCGCATGGGCGAATCAGCGGCGCTCGGCTACATAAATAATTGAGCCTTAAAGTCAGCCTACGTGCCGCGGATCTAGCTGGTGACGAGAAGGGTGGACGCGCGCGCGCGGAGGCGCTCCATATTGGACATGCCGCCGCCGTATGCTCGTCGCACCGCGCCGCGCCACTTGAGGCCACGCTAGGAGAGAGTTATTGCGTATAGCATGATGATGGTGCAGCTAGGTGGGTCGTTAAGTCGCACCCTTGACGCACACCGACCTGTCTTGGAAAAATGCGTTTATGCAAAGCGCCGGTCTAATAAATGTCCCCGGGTTACTACTCAATCAACGCTGCCGGGTTTATTGAGTTATGCGAATTATGTCCATTACAATACACTGATTGATTCCTTCCGCGATGATTACGTCGCGTAATCGAGCCGTCCGCCTTATGCGAAGAAGCGCGCGCAATCGCGTCGCGATACGTCCGAGATAACGAGGCTCGAGAAGATCCCCGTATAATTTTGTTATTTCTCACTACGCCTGTCTGACTTGGCCTGAAAGCCTCGACGAAGTCCATCATCCTTTAGGTTTGTCAATTCGACGCTGAGTCATCAAACGCCGAACGAAGAGATATGAAAATCTCGAAAAAGCATGATGCTGCGAGTTGACGCGCGGTCGAAAGCCATTATTGAAATTAAGGATAATCCCAATAACGGCGTCCGACCGCGCGTCAACTCACGCCATTATGCTTTTTCGGGATTTTCATACCACGGCAGATGCATAAGCAAAATGGCGCGAGATCAAAAGCTCCTAACCGCGCGCGATGCTGTAATTGCATATGGCGCTTGATCGGCGCGGCCGGCCGCGTTGTAGCGCGCACACAGTGACGAGGAGCGAGGGACGTCCGTGCGTATGATTTACGACAGCGGAACCGAGGGGTCGATTCTGTCCCTCTCCGCCATAGGGAGAGCTCGTGCAGGTCACACAAGAGATTTCTCTTCCGCGATGGACCCCACTTTTAAACGCAGTCCTGACACGCGATTGGCACGCGTATAGGGGCGAACAGGGGTTATACTGAACTCGTGGCAGCAGCGGGGATTTTCGAGATGGAGGTAATGATGATGATGATTGTGATAATGATGATGACAACGACGACGTTTATAATGACAGTGATGATGATGATTGTGATAATGATGATGACAACGACGACGATTATAATGACAGTGATAATGATAATGATGATGATGATGATGATGATAATGATGATGATAGCGACAACGAAGGCTAAAATGGAAGGATTCACTAGACCGCCATCTTTCTCTATTCTTTCCTCCTTACCATAGCCTCTGTATCTCTGTTTGGAACGTGCCGGCCTTGAACTTGCCGCCGTACTAATGAAGAGAGCCGACGAAGGTCTTCCGCTCACGGTGGACAGCCATAGCGACGTCTAACTAGCTGCGCTGTGCTATCTGATGTTGGCAGCCACGGCGAAAGGGGATTCGATGAAGAAATTATTTTCACTTTCCCCATCGGCGCAGCGAGAGCGTAAGCCGGTGCACGTGTACGCTCCCTCCTTCTCTTTCTCTCTCTCTCTCTCTCTCTCTCTCTCTCTCTCTCTCTCTCTCTC